CCTGACGTTGATCAACACCATGGGAAGTCTCCTAAGACACCAAAGACAATAATGGACACTCACCAGTCACCAATGAAAGCTTACTACCCGAGCTTGTCAGAAACTGTGAAACATCCAGACAGACCATCCAGTGTCATCACATGAAGTTGTCGCATTAGCAAACCACCAAATAGCATTGTGATCATGTCAGATGCAGTTGTGTTAATTCAGTTTAATTCAGAGACAGAATTACCAGTTTAGCAATTTCCTTGTATTCCATTAGCGTTTATTTGAATATTTAAAGGTCATGCTGGATGTTTGAAAATTAGTCACCAACTTTCAGTAGTCAAATAAAGGAGGATGTAATATATGTTACAGTTACAACATCTACATTAATATTAGACTGTTTATGACATGCCTTGCTATGTATATTCTGCTTGACGACAACACGAGTCTCGTGTCCTATGTGACATTCACCACCGGTTACCGATTTTTTGCAAAATGGCGGGATCGTAAGCAGGAATTTGCAAGAGACCTCTTTGATTCAGGGATCGTTTTTACGTTAAATATGTGCTGTAAGTTATCAGAAACATACCGCTATCATTTATATGTTTTGTTGTTCTCATTGTAACCAGAAAAGTGGTAAGAAATGTCGATAATTACCCTTGTCGTTTTAGGTTATTTTACGTCAGTCATGGCATCACCATTCATCGTCATGAATTCACCACCTTTTTTTGTAATGTATCTAATGTTAATTTCCTTTATCTTGCTAGGATACTCTTTCCATGCATAGTAAAAACGTGTTGTCTGAAAATTTGAGAAATTACAGTGTAAAATCTGATTTTTACTTTGTTTACTTTTCACACAAGCGCAGTCATACGAGCACAGTCATACGAGCACAGCGTTCGTTTTCACAACCAACATGTTTCGTTTGATTTTGTCTAGACACTTGGTTTTGGTGACAAAATGCAGTTGCATATTTGTCGCAAGTGTGTGTGAAATATGCTTGATGTAAAATACGCATCATTTGACCGACCTCATGACCGTCACTAGCGCCACAGATGAACAGAGATCAAGGAGTTTATCTACCCAATGCCTGGCAAATTAATTAGACTCACCAATCACCTCTGAATCCACTGTACCAGCATCCTCCCTACCTTTTGTATCTCATCCCTGCTCTGGCAACCTGTTGCCCATTTTTTACTGTACTATCCTAATTGGAAATCCATTTTTAAAGAGAGATGCTAGTTTCAATTCTTAATACTGTGATCTACTAGTTGGTTTTACTGTCCATCGTCGACAGGTTTTTTATTTTAATTGCGCTTATTATGAATTTATAAGTTTGAAAGTCACGATATGGCTGAAATATTGTCAATGTGACTATAAATTTTATCTCACTCAATTACCATCACTCAATTAAACTGTTAGCCACCCTTTTGTACATCAGTTAGACTCATTGGCTTCCATCACTTGCCCACTTAATCCTCTGTTACAACAACACATCTGCTTTTGTATATTTATCCTCTTTCATCTTATTATAGCCTGTATTGTAATTATCATGCGTGCAATCACTCTTGCTTTACTCTTTACACTCTGTACATTACTAGTAAATATATAAGATATATATTAATCCTCGATATCTGTCAGTTAGTATTCACCTGAGGGTCCTTTCACGAAGCAACCTTAACTACGGTTAACCTTAACTCCCATTTTTTAACATTGCACTAAGGTTACCTTAGTACCTACGATCACCTTAGTGCTTTGCGAAAGGCCTTGATGAAGAGGCAAGGAATAGCCGAGAAACGTTGTGTCGGTAATAAAGAAGCAGTTGACATTCATAACATTTTGTCTTAAACCTCTCGAAACGTGATTTTGTGAACACCAACCAATATGGCGGAAAGCTTGAATTGGCGTTAGTAGTGTTCGTGTATTTTCAAAAACATCCCGACCAATTGTCTCTCTCTCTCTCTCCAAGAGTATTGGATCTCTAGTATTCATATGTATCTCTAGTATTCATATGTAAGTTTTCATTGTAGCCATGACATGCGGTGGTGTTGAATACAAGTCCTTCACGAACTTGGAACAGAGGATGTACACGTTTCAAGAGGAAGTCCTCGATGACTACGACATGAGTACTGAGGGGGCATGGTATGGGGAGCCGGGATACAAGCTGCTGGAGTTTGCCCCTGGAATACTACATTGTGGAGGGAGGTACCCGGTCTGGGTTCAAGGTTTGATCATGTGCAATCAGTACCCTGAAACTGCCTAAAATTCTAGTCACTCCCATAGATATTTTCAGGTAGTGCCCTTTTTATTCGCATTTGCATCTCTTACTATACCTGTCAGTTTTTGTATATTTAGCTCACCTGCCCATTCTTGGTGGTGGTAATAAAAAACCCGAATTGAAGCAGCCGTTGTGTCAAACTTACTATTGTCTCGAAGTAAAAACTGTTCCTACGTATTGTTTAGTCATCATTTTGCGGTTGTATCGAACCCCTGATAACCGGAATTATTTTCCTTAGTCCAAAAACGAAATACAGTCAAACGTTGTTGTATTGCACAATGATGTGTCCATCGGTTCTCGTAGTACAACGATGTTCTTGCGTTGTTTGATTTGCCATTTTTTTCCGGTTGTGTCAACCCTTGAAGTATTTTCATAGGTCCATTTAAGTTCGACAAAACGGTGTTTGACTGTATTCTTCCGCGACTCCTGCAGCTATACTTACAAGACGCTTAACAATGAAAACTGTTGTCAGGTAAACAGGGCGGTGACCCAGAAGGCAAACACCAGCTGACCATGTGCATGTAGCATTCATCGGACGACTGCTACAGGACATGGACAATCGATGCGATGTCGTGTGAAGACCAAACAATCTACAAGCTGACCAAGCCTCCGACGGATAAGATTGTTTACTGTGTTGGTAAGTTTGCAATTTTATTGTACAGCCACAACCATAAACAAACAATAATTTAATTATCAGAAAGGATGTTTATCTCCTAATCTTTTGACGAACTATAACCTCTAGAAGAAATAGTAAAATGCAGATGTGGATGCAACAGAAAACTAACTTCTCATAATATATCTTCCTGGGTATTTAATTGAGAAGAATAAATTTGCATACATTCTATGGACAATACATTTCAGTTCTACAGTTCGTTCACCTGACACCACAATATATCAATACTCGGTTTTGGATCGATGTTCATAATATCGATCTATAGAAAGACTGCCTAGCCAATCTACAAGCCAGTGTCATGAATCTAAAATATTGCTATTGCTGAGTGGAGCGTTAAATATGAAATAAATTATTTTCCTTCGTTCATTGTCTTAATACATAGTAGTGGGGTATTCATGCTTCACTGCGGCATGGTATCTCAGTGGGCTAGCACTATACAACCAGCTTCAGTCTGGGCTAGTACAAGCAGCCGCACATACACATACACACGCATGCATCGTCATATGAGCGAAATATTCTCAAGCACAACGTTAAACTCAATTTCACCTCACCTCACCTTAATACATAGTTTGTAGTTACTTTAAAAAATCACAAATCCTTATCACCTGATTTCATTTTTTCAAATTTCGGCATCTGAACATATTTTGCTGTGATCCATATGCTTGTACTGGTGGATACTAAACGATTAATATTTATTTTCAGGTTATGTCAATGAGGACAATCGTAAGTAGATGTCCGGGTTACAACAGATCCAGACTTGCTTCAGGCTCCTTATGATTATCCTTCTTTGGCGTCCTTACTGATTTGCAGTGGTCCCTTTATATAACTGTCATGTTAAGTCTGTTATGGAGGATATTCGTGGATGTTTTGATTTTGCTACAGAGGCTGAGCAAAGTCAAATTCGAAAATTCATGTTTCATGGACAAAAGTATCCCAAACCCCTATATTTTTATAGCATCAATTTGTTATCATTAACCACAGCAAAAGACGTATCCAAACCTTAATTTAAATAACTATCTGAATGATTTCGTACTTATCAAATAAATGAATGGCAAGTCTAAGCCCCAAAAGAATGTAAAACTAGTATAGCTTATTCACTGAAACAAACATGGGAAAAAATGGACTCATTTTGTAGTGCTGATAACTATGATCATGTTCAACCTACTGCAATAACCTTCTTGACATTCCTGATCATACGTTGGAGGTATTTCCTTTCATTCTTGGTGGAGGGCTTGTTCAAATACATTACAATTGTGTACTGGAAAATCTCTCTAGCAAATTTTGCGATCCATAATACCCTATATAATTATGCTCTATGGGATGACAATCCAAAGTAGTTGTTACTGTCTCAGGCATTTTGAAGAGGTGAGCTGCTTAGAACAAAAACTGAATGGACAACGGTACATCACTGGGTTGTTGTGTTTCACATTCTGATGACAACTATCTTAACAAAGGACAAGCTTCATGGACGACACTGCTAAGTCACATTGCAAGTGCCGTTAGTGATTTGTTAACGTTAAGAGGGCATAGAAACTCTACCCTTTTCCACCAGGATATCCGCCATAATAGACCTGTTGCGATACTTTTCCATATGTGTATTAACATATTTTGCTTGATTTTCTCAATGTTCTTTAAAGCATTCTTAAAAAATATTGTTAGAAACTATAAAGATATTTAACTTTTGGTTAAATGATTGGCATCAGTCTGGCATACTTTTAACTAAGCGTCTTGTTGGAAAGCTTCCTTACCTTTAAACAAGACGCTTCGGGAACATGTCACGTGAACTAAACTGTAGTATGAATAATAAAAAACAAATGGGTATCTGTTATGCACCTATAAACAGATGCTCAAAGTGCCAAGCTCCTGGGGTAATGAATCAGTGAGCACTCGCTCCACTCATACAACTCCGTCACAGTTCACAGAGAATGTAGACCTTTAAGTGCGTGCACAAGATGCAAGGCTGAAGCCACAGTATCTTTGGCAGTTGTTGTTGTAGAACATTGTTATTTTGCAGCACCTTCAACTCACCTTGTTGGCAGCTGTAGTGTGGAGATACAAACAAGGGAGAATCAGTATCAGGGTTTTGCCGTTTTCCTCTGCAACTTTGAAAGACTGGATATGCCCCTTCATTACGAAACATACTGGTTTGTGAATGACAAATATGTCGCTGTCAAGGAAGTTGCTCTCTGGTCTGGAAATTACGTTGAAAATTCCCGGTTGACAGAAGATGATCTGAAAAGAGCTGGGTTCCACAAGTTTGGATTTGATGTACGTCGATTAAACTAATTGCACACATTACATATGTTATTCCTTTCACATTAAGTATAGCCACTATCACTCAAAGTAGATTCATTGGCGGACATTACTTTCGAAGTGTTAACGACTTGATATTGTCATCCCCACTTGCAACTAAGTTTGGATAGAATAGGTCAGTGTGTTTTGTTTTACCATCTTTCCATTTTGGAATCCATCTCTGTTTGTCACGTAAATCTTCAACGAGGATGTGCATTAGAAGGATAAACTAAAAATCAGAAACTAAATTTGAAACTGTGATAGTGTAATTACTACTTTAATCCTGTGTATTCTGGGTACTTTGGTAAATTTCTGAACATGAAGAAAGACATTGCCTCCTACATTTGTTTTGGTAGGTGCGGTGCAGTGTCAGAGTGCGGGACAAGGCAGGTGGCTTCCCGGGACCATCAAGACTGAGTGAACCGCAGTTTGCAGGAATAAAGGTAGAGTGAGATTTATAACCACCCCCACCCCCACCCCCACACACAACACACACCTCTCTCTCTCTCTCTCTCTCTCTCTCTCTCTCTCTCTCTCTCTCTCTTTATCTTATACTCTCTCTCTCATAACAGGTGATGTGTTGTTTGATCTTTCAAGCAAATTAGCCTTGTTCCGTCTTTCACAGAACTACATCTTCCTACATTTAAGAAATGTGGATAGCAATTTGGTACACCTCTTTCAAGGGAGAAATAAATATTTGATAGGAAATGTTCTTCTAAAGGGATCAGTAGTGATTGTGATATATTAAGGAAGTTGGTTTGATTTTGGAGGATTATGTGCAAACAGGGTTTTCAGGCAGTAGTGCAAGGTTGTAAACTCTCCTAGTTCTTGTTCAAACATTTCAAAGTCTGGTTCTGAGTTTGGTGACAAATGGTCAAGTTCTAAAGTTCTACTCCAGTTGATTCTAAAGATACTTCTTGAACCTACTTGTTGTTTGGCTAAGGAGAAGTTAGCGTTTGTAGACCTGTCACTAGAGTCCTTTATGCGAGAGCTGCTTTATGTGGTTTACAAGTGTGCCTCTCAATTTTAAGGATTTGACAGCTGACTCGATGTCTGGACTTGCTAAGGTGCGGGTTGTAGAAACTACTGTCAAAGGGGTGGATTGATTTGCCATAGGGCCTAGCCTAGCACTTCAGAAAGTAAGGAAACCCTTGAAAAAGAAATTCCAGGTATTTTTCCTTCTAGTGTTCTTGAGAGAATGATCCCACTTACGGTATGGCTAACACGTTCCTCGATCATTCAAACTGTTGAGTATTTAGGCATTAGAGAAACGGTTCTGGGCAGGAAGCAGTTGATTAAGTTGCAGGAAGCAAACTCAGAACTCCAAGTTCTTGCCAATAGGGCACCCTCTTTGAAAGGTGGTGGCAAGGTTCCAGTTTGCTATAATCATTTCAATGATAACATTTTGGTGAGGAATAAAGGCCACTGGGTGTATCTGCTGATGATGAATGATTAACTTTTCCATCTGATTGACATTTTGGTACATTAAAACTCTTTTGGCAGATCTCTTAGATGTGAACAAAGCTTAAGACAAAATTGTCCTATTTTACCTTTCCAAATGTTGCAGCAAGTTCTTTACTATGTTTGGTGCATTCCATAATCAGAGACGTAGTAATTGGCGACGAACAATAACAGTATTTGTGTCGTCACAATGCTTATGGAGAGACTGTTAGTGACAATAGAGAAAGACGTAGAAAGCAACAGGCAAGATTATGTTTGCCACACTAATGATAAATGCATTATGTGCAGACACAAACATCAAGTCGGAATGACAAAAATGAAGTATAGATTGATGAATGCGGGTGTGGCCATTTCCCAACATATGTATATATAAAACTTCCAGAAATGGAGACCCGTGAAGCTTCGTGTTAGAATGAACTTTCAGTAACCCATGCTTGTCGTAAGATGCGACTAACGGGATCGGGTTGTCAGGCTCGCTGGCTTAGTTGACACATGTCATCGGTTCGGATTGCACAGATCGATGATCATGCTGTTGATCACTGGATTTTTTGTCCCAGACTCGATTATTTACAGTCCGCCGCCATATAGCGGGAATATTGCTGAGAACGGCACTGAACTCACTCACTCCCTCCAGAAATGAAACGTTCAGTAACATGCGGGGTCATAATATTCTGTCTGCTCTAGAAACTTATAGATGCCGCGTCTAAATTTAATAACATGCACACTGCCATCGACTTGATCTTCGCTGTAACACAATTAAGGCACTGTACAACAATGAATAGGAGCGAGTTTAGTATTTCAACACTATGGAGGGGGGCACCAGTAATGAGCTTAACACTTTGAACCCGGGTCTTTGGCGTGACAGTTGTCCTGTTCCGTCAGCATTGTCGATGTTGAATCATCCATAGTAACTCTGAGGCTCATTACTACTCTTTTGATGCATTATTTGTGACCACCCGGGCTAGAATTGATTTTCAGTAGCTCATGCTTGTCGAAAGAGGTGACTAACGGGATACCAGGCTCGCTGAACTGGTTGACACATCTTACAGTGAGATCAGATATATTAATTGAAGGTTGTTTACAGTATCAGCAGACGATCGGTCTTGACAATGCTGACAGACAGTCGACGAGCGTAGGCAGATGACGGCAGACAGATGTACACAATTCGAGTGATAAGAAAACTCCAATGTAATTCCGTGTATGATTCCTTGAGTTGTCAACACAACAAGCAGCCTTGATATATACTGAAACAGTGTCTAGAACATTCGAGCAAAGCCCAGTTGTATCATTATTCACTCAGTACATTCTCGAATGACGGAAGTCAACAAAATAAACAAAATATTGTCAAGGGCAGGTAACCTTGGAGCGCTATCAAAAAGGCGTACGGCTAAAAATAGTATTGCCATTGAACATATATGATGCGAAATGTAACCCACAACCCACACTCAAAACTTTAAACATTGTGACCCATTATAACTATCACTTAATCAATGATAAAAGATGATAAAAAAAACCACTCTCGTAACAGTGATGGCAGATGCGCAGGTTAGAGTTAACTTCATCGAGTCAGTTCGTGGAGGAAGATCACTTTATTTTGCTAGAAACAAGTTTCGTCTGAACGGATATGAGGGAGACACGGGTTACTTGAAGTTCACAAAGGCTTGATGTTCAAGTGACAAGTGGGGACAGACTTCGGGGCACACCCACAGTCATCCGGATCCGGCCTGAGGCAGAGTGTCAAATGTTTCCTCTTGTATTCTGCTTGCTGCCGAACAGGTCGGTGGGAACCGGATCCCGAATCCGAGCCCTGAAGGACGATACTGTGAACAACATCATCGGGGACATCAACTACACAGGCCACGTGTCCAATCTGCTCAAACTTTCCTAAACCTGAAGCACATTGACAGTAGTCTGTTATATAATGTTGAATTAAAGAAAATGTATGGGAAGAATAGGCCTGAAAAACCTGTGTAAATACTTATTTATATTTTTATATGTGCCCAAATTAATCACGTTAATCCTGTTTTCCTTGTAATTTGTGTGAGTCTCCGAGTGAGGCGCGCTGTGTTCGTTCAGCCATAACACTGCATTGAAAGTACCGCCAAGGCTATGCTCATTCAACCGAGAAACGTCGCGAATTTAGCTTTCCCGGCCATGAACCATTTCCAAGACAAGGCAAATGTGTTACGACTGGCATGGAGATGAACTGCAGGTAGACGATTTGCCTTTTTTTTTTTACAAACGTAAACGTCCCGGTATGGGAAGTTTGTCGTCTCATACGATACTAACGGAAAAAGAAATACATAACATAAAGTAAAAGTTATTTGAAAAGTTAAAAAACAATAACTCTACATAAACCTGTAGCAACGCACTTTGTATGAAATTTGATGTCAAGTATTGCGCATAGCACGTGCACTTTGTGCACGATGTACTTACTCACTTTTTGCACGTTATTTGACACCTGAACTTCATACTTTGGACTTTGACATTTAAAGAACGGTTGACTATTTTCGAGCCTCTAAATGTTGTGGAAAACACGATACTTTTAACCTAAACTGCGCATCCGCTGTGCCAGGGCTTACTGAAAATCAGCGTCTCCGTGCCATGGGTATGCTGGAGACTGGAAAGGCCCAAAATATAGTGGCCAGAAATGTTGGTGCCAATCGAAACACGATCTCTTCTCAATGGAGACATTTTCAATACAATGGGAACACCAGAGATTTGCCGCCCACGCGATGAGTCAGGTCAGCAATACAACCTCATTCGAATGACCCATCAAAAGAAAGGATTCCAAACTGCCAGTTTCACTGCTCGAACCATTCCTGGCTTACGTCCAATCAATTCTAGGACTGTACGGAACCGACTGAGGGAGCACAATATCCGGACCCGACGTCCTGCAATACGTCCAATTTTGCTACGCCGTCACCGACAGGCACGTCTTGCCTGGTGCACAGGCACAGGAGACAGGATAATGCAGTTACTTTATTCCAGTAGTATACTTGCTATTTTTACCTTTGCATTTCATGATCTCCTATGTTTATATCTGTTTTCATTTTCAGATAGAGAACCCCACCTTATCTGTAAAACAAGGTGAAACAAAACAACTTTCTGTAATTTCAACTGTGCCATTCAAATGTGGCACTAAGTTTGGGGACTGTCGTGTCAATCTGGAAGTGAGAGCACCACCTACAGACGATAACACAGGATGCAACCCCAAACCATTGGTACAAACAGACTGCAATTTACCTCTCCAGAATACGAACACGCGGTATCATTTCCAAGTCACAGGAGAAACTACACTGGATAATGGAGCATTTTACAGCTTAACAAAACTGAATCTGACGACAATATCCAATGAGATGTCATTCTTTCATGAATACACCGTCGGGATAGCTACGGTGAGAAAAAAATATAAGAAAAATATGTGTTGTTGAACTCAAACATGATAATAAGTCAGAAACGGTAATGTTTGTTGTTTAACGCCGCACTCAGCAATATTCTAGCTATATGTCGGCGTGCTGTAACTAATCGAGTCTGGGCCAGACAAACCAGACAACATTATGAGCATCGATCAACGCAATTGCGATACGATGACATGTGTCAACCAAGTCAGCGATCCTGACCACCCGATCCCGTTAGTCGTCTCTTACGACAAGCATGGGTTGCATGGGTTGCTGAAGACCAATTCTATCCCGGATCTTCACGGGTTGTTAATGCATGAACTAGAGACACGTCAGATCGAGTTCATCAGGATATGTATCGCTATCTCTGAAATGTGGCAGACATTGATTCATAAGTAAGAAAGGAACATTTTGTTTTCTTTTCAACTACAGTAGGTACGAATTCAAACAAATATTTTTCTATGAGCGGATTCTGACCTGATCTTGTATTTAAGAAATACACTTCGCTCTACCACCATGTATAGTGTAATAAAACACACTTTTGCCCTGAACTATTATAATTAAAGCACGAGGACGCTTGCGTCCGAGTGCTTTAACGTTATAATAGTTCAGGGCGAAAGTGTGTTTTATTAAACTATACATGGTGGTAGGGCGAACTGTATTTCTTTTCTAAGATGCCAAATTTAATACTTTCTAAGGATAATTACGATTAATTTAAGGCAGAAAACAAACGACGGTGTCTGTGACCTAAATTAAGAATCCTCGCACAGGGCTAACTGGCGCACTGTTCTATTGATGTGTCTGCCCCCTACGTTAAGACGAATGTCACCAGAAAAAAAACAAATGATAACAGTTTGATGACGGTTTACGTTCGGATTAAATATCTTCTCTGAATTATTTTAAATACATCTGTTATTAACATAAACAATATGGGGCAATATGAACTTTGCATTTCTACTACCAACGTAAGTTTAGATCAGTACATCCAGAGGAAGTTGAGTAGTCAAGCGACATTCCACGATTGCATTGTGGGAATGTAAACATTGCGAACGTTACCGTGTCGCTGAAAACTTGTGAGACGAACTGAGACATTTTAACCGTCGTAAAACATAAACGTAATGTTTCCACCAGTGATATTAGCTTGGTGAAGCAACAGCAAACCAAGAAACGGGATGCAACGGTGTAGTTTACTGTAGGAGGCCGTACGAGGCGATGACAACTGACATGCATCGTGACGTTGCTTTCATCGTGACGTAATGTAAAATGGTTCGATTACGAGGGGGCCCACTAGAATGGCGCAGTGACGGGATAACGTCATTCAATTGTTACGTCATCAAAAAACTATACCTTTATTGTCTGATAATGTTGTTTTTTTTCGATTGTTCTAACCGCTAGGCATCTTAGAATGCATGTTAAGGACGTTTTGGACTCCCGACTTCTCATATCGAACTCAATATTTTCACTAGGTCGAGGTCTCGAAGGACGGATCTGGGTCTGTTGCCGATGGGAGTGTATGCCATGCTGTGTGTGACCCTCATATGTTGACATTTGATGGCAGGTAAAGGAATATACGTACACATAATGTGGTCGGTATCTTATATCTATAATCTTATGAACGAATTGATTCTACAAAATGGTTGACATCAAAACATTTTCAACCAACCAACGTACAAACTTGCCACTTGCCACTTGTTAAACTGAAATTCACATTCGAAGTAATGTATTAATTGTTATGAAAAGAGATTTACATGTATTATCTAGGTAACAATACAGACCATGAAAAGTGGATTACAGCAGTCTAGTTAACAAATAATGCATATGCCATAACCCTAATTGAATAGACTCTTGGAACAGGAGAAATCAGTAATAAGTGAGGCCTCCTTAAGCAGTCGTGACGGCAACATTTATGAGCTGCGGAACACATTAATCTTGCAATATTTATGCATTTTCCTGTTTCTTAATTGTGGATGTCATGTTTCGCTGTACCGTCCAGCAGGACATCGCCATCAACAAAATCAACCTCAAATTTCTGTCCAACAACCTTGGCACTCTTAAAATAGGTTTGGAATTCCTTGCTTTCATCATGAGCCTTGACATGCATCACCAGAAGATCGATCATTTGATAAACAGATATGTGCAAAGGAACACGAAAACAATCTATCATGAGGAGCCTCCACATTAATCAACCTCGACCTCCCGAATTGTTTGTCATATATAAACGATTATGAGAGGAACGAGGATGGTGGTGGGGCCCTGTTGTCAAACATGATCCTTCTGGTCAGGACTGGCACAGCAAAAGTATCGGTGGCTTTGACGTTGTTTTGAGCATTTAGCTCTGAGCTCCAGATTTCCTTTCAGCGCGAACTGTACTCGGCCCGGAGTTTGTCTTGAATCTGGGCATTCAGGAGCAGATGCTCAATAACTCTATCCTCCCCCTCCTCTGCAGATTAATAATACTCACTAGTAGACTAGTAGCCATAGGTCACGCCGAAGACCCGGGTTCGATTCCCGAACCAGTCGGGCATGAAACTGGTAGACAATTATAGCTAATTGTGTCCCTCCATCTTCTCATATCTGACTGTCGGATCTGTTCCCAAAGCCATGTCTCATCATGGGCGATCTGAACGGAGACAACCCCCTTTGGGGTAGTGTCCATACTAACACTAAGGTAAAATGCTTGAGGAAATCATTTCCGATAATGATTTATGTTTTTGCAATGATGGTTCAGCCACTTATCTTTATCCAGCAACGGGAACATATTCTTTCCTGGATCTGCCTCTCGCCGACTCCAACTTGTAAAATGAATTTGATGGAAATGATGGTCCATTATGACCTATGTGTGAGTGATCACTTCCCCACCATTCTCAAAACAATCAACCCTGGTGGTGATCCACTTTATCTAGAAGAAACTTCGCCAGGGCTGATTGGTCATTATATGAGACTGTGTGATCTTTTTAGGAACAGTGAAGATCCTATACAGTCTTTTTCGGATATACTAAATGGTATTCCTGACAAAACAATTCCTAAGTCCTCTGCAAGTCCACATATTCATAAATCATGGTTTAATACTGAATGTAAACAGGCCAGAAATTGTAGGAAGAATGCCGAAAAATATTTTTGCCGACGTCCTTCTGTCCATAATCTAGACAAAGTCAAAATTGCTAATGCTAATGCTAGACGGATATTTAAACAAAAAAAAGGGTAAGTCGTGGCGAAATTATGTTTCCAAAATACATTTACGTACACCTATGTCCAAGGTGTGGGACAAGATCCAATGAATAAAGACAAAGGTTCAAAATCCAATTTATTAACTAATAAAACTGATATTGCAAATAAACAGTAAATTCCTTGACAAGCATTCAGCTTCATCAAATTATGTCCCTGAGTTTCAAAACTATCACAAACGGAGAATAAAAGAATACATTTTAACTCAGACATTGGTGAAGATTATAAAGAATTATTTTCGTTACATGAGCTCCATACCGCCCTTGAGCAAGCTCATGATACAGCAAGAGGAGCTTATAATATTCACCATCAGCTCTTGAAGCATTTGCCAGAATCATGTTTAGAAATCCTTTGAGAATTCTTTTTATTAAATGTGGACTTCAGGGAATTTCCCAACTTCGTGGCGTAATGCCATTGTTGACCCTATTCCAAAGCCTGGCCGGGATCATACTGATCTTTTAATACCGAGTCTTACAAACATCATCAACACTAGTCTTGAATATTGAATAGTACCGTCTCCTTCTAGTGATGCCACTCCTGAAAAGGCCCAACTTAGATCTGCTTTGCAACTACTGGCCAGTGTCTAATCTCAGTTATGTTTCCAAGTTAGTTGAGTGTGCTGTATGCACACGACTTTCTGAACATCTTGATAAACATGACCTTCATGATCATCTCCAGTCCCCCTACCGTAGCCATCACAGAACGGAAACTGCATAGCTGAAAGTGATCAGTGACATATTACTTAGCATTGATAACAAGAAGCGTGCAGTTTTGGTACTTCTTGACCTAAGCAGTGCATTTGACACCATCGATCACTGCAATCTTCTGGAACGTCTGAAGTTGGAATTTCCCATCGATGGAACAGCTTTAGCGTGGTCTAAATCGTACCTGTCCGATAGAAGGCAGTGTGTCTCCTGACCCATCATGTCTAACGTGTGGGGTTTAACAAGGATCCGTCGTGGGAACGGTTCTTTTCACCTTGGAAATGTCGTGGAAATACATGAAGAGTATAGACATCCCTATGCTGATGACTCTCAAGTCTACAGATTCATGGAGTCAATGCTATGCGTAGACGTATCAGAACAAACTAAAACTGAATAGCGAGAAGACGGAATGCATTGTCCTAGGGCCACAGAAAAGGAGATCACAATGCGGTCTTACATTTTTCGAGTTGGTGTGATTATCGACTCAGATGTGTCACTGGATGATCACGTTTTCTATGTAGTTCAGAGCTGCTTTGCTCAACTTCGTACTATTGGACATATCCGACCATATCTCACCACCGAATCTGCCACCACTCCTGTCCTGTCTCTAGTTATGAGCAGGAACGATTACTGTAACTCTCTTCTCGCTGGTGCCACTAAGACACAGATATGCAGAACGCAGTTGCACGTGTAGTGATCCAGTCACTACAGGATTCAATTCATGCTTCTGTGCCTCACTTTTCGCTGTCTGTCTGGATCTGCCTCTTCGTATCTTGCCCAGTTCCTCACGCTGCACCGGCCATGCCGCGCTCTCCGTTCTCAAGATAAACATTTCCTCGTTATCCCCTTTAGCCTTTTAATTTGTCTAAACTAAAATTCAGTGAAACAGGTTGCAAAATGTTTTATGGAACACTTTTACACTATACGAGACAAAACATCATGATAAAAACTGGGAGCATACTTGAATCTAAATCTCCTACCAAAAGACTGGGAAATATTCAATATTATCACATGAAAGTGCTCCTATAACATTGATTTAAGATGGTTACAATATAAGTTGTTCACTGGTCACGAGGGGGCATAGGTTGATGTACTCTCGATGTTTGTTTATGCCCGAAGGGCAAGGGGAACATAAACAAACATCGAGGGTACATCAACCAATGGGCTCCGAGGGACCAGTCAACAACGTATTTCTCTTACCGAACACCTTAATGTTAATTTTGAATTACTTGAAGCACGGGTACAAATCTATCTGTAGCCATCGCTACCCAGCGGGCACACAACGTTGAATCAACGTTGAATCAACGTTGAATTTTGGTTGTTTGGTTGATCAACCTTTCCTAAACGTTGATTCAACGTTTATCATGCGACCAAAGAAAGTTAGTCGAGATTCGTTTAGTTGTCAACGTTGTTTCAACGTAAGGAACCAACAAAATGTCAACTAATTGTTTCCTTGGCAAATTTGATACATAATTCATATTGGTAATAGGTATCCAACTTAGCAACTATCATTTCGGAACATTATTTTCATAAAAGATCAAGATCGAGCTAGTGACAGATTTAATCTTATATATTGTTGGATTGTGCATCGATCAAGGGACGGAAATATTACGTAAATCGCAATTTTAGGTATAAAGTTATCAGTTATCCAAATTGCAGTACATTTGATATTTTCCAACAAAACTGTGAAAATTGTATAATTCCCGACAATTTGCTTTCAAACACATGCCAGATGTTGACCTTTCGATCGCCTCGTTTGGCCATATCCGGACATGCGCACAATTATCGCGCGCGCAAAGGCAGCTGATCGTTGTCAGTTCACTTTGGCGAAGTTCAACGCAATATCGTTCTATTTTCGCCATCTTCACGGCATGCTGGTGTTTATTTGGTAAGTATGTCCTTCATGTATTCTGAAAACGTAGGAATCTAGCAGGTCAAAGTAGCAAGAAACTCCGAATTAGGGCTCATGTTTTAACTCACAAGGTTACCGGTATGTCACAGTACATGTTTCTCAAAATTTAGTGGAAGCCCGTGTTTTCCATGAACTTGTTTTGTTATTTTTCAATATATTTACATGCATATATTTGGCATTTTATTATATAATCGAAAAGGATTTCCTTTCGTACCCATCACCTGATTTGAATTTTGCAAATATACATTTTCAAATAATCAATGAAGTACATCAATATAAGGAACCGTTCATAATTAAATATACATCTGCGGGTGGGGGTGATGATTGTAAGGGGTGGGGTGTCACCCATTTTTTTCAGGGGAGCTAAGGGGTCAGCATTTTTGTACACACGCACTATGTTTAATATGATGCTTAGAAATTATTGGAAGGGGAGAGGGCGTCATAGATAATGTACATGACATGTAGGGTGGGCCGTCTCACATTGGGGGAATTCACATTGTACATGCTTCTCCATAAAAATCAACATCACCCCAAAGCCATACATTAATAACGGTCCCTAAGGGCAGCTATACAAAATCGGATAGGATTAATCAACATTTTATATTGCATCCCATTATTATGAACATTTGTTCGTTTGAATAGATCTATCAGTAAACTATTATGCATTGAGCACGCCCTGAACCCTGTCAACATATGTATATTATTTGGGGGGAGGGG